TGGTTTTTCTCTTTCTATTATTTTCCTCTATTTCTTTGCACTGTTCATTTAAGAAGGCCCTCTTGTCTCTTCTTGCTGTTCTTTGGAAGTCACATTCAATTTTCTGTAACTTTCCCTATCACCTTTGCATCTTGTTTCCCTTCTCTTCTCTGCTGTTTGTAAGCCTCATTGGACAGCCACTTTGCTTTCTTGCATTTCCTTTTCTTTGGGATGGTTTTTGTTGCTGCCTCCTGTACAATGTTACGAGTCTCCATCCATAGTTCTTCAGGCACTCTGTCCACCAAATCTAATTCCTTAAATCTGTTGTGTTGTTCCACTGTGTACTCATAAGGGAATTGGTTTAGATTATACCTGGCTAGCCCAGTAGTTTTTCCTACTTTCTTCAGTTTAAGCTTGAGTTTTGCTATAAGAAGCTGATGATCAGAGCCACAGTCAGCTCCAGGTCTTGTTTTTTGCTGACTATATTGAGCTTCTCCATCTTTGAGTGCAGAGAATATAATCAATCTGATTTCAGTATTGTCCATCTGGTGATGTTCATGTATAGAGTTGCCCCTTGTGTTGTTGGAAAAGAGTGTTTGAGATGACCAGCTTGTTCTCTTAAAAAAACTTCATTAGCCTTTGCCCTGCTTCATTTTGAACTCCAAGGCCAAACTTCCCTGTTGTTCTTTTTATCTCTTGACTCCCTACTTTAGCATTCCTGTCCCCTATAATGAGAAGAACAACTTTCTTTGGTGTCAGTTCTAGAAGGTGTTGTAAGTCTTCATAGAATTGGTCAGTTTCAGCCTCTTCAGCCTTGGTAGTTGGTGCCTAAACTTGGATTACTATGATGTTGAAAGGTCTGCCTTGGATTTGTATTGAAATCATTCTATCATTTTTGAGATTGTATCCCAGTATAGCTTTTCCCACTCTTTTGTTGTCTATGAGGGGTACTCAGTTTCTTCTACGGGATTCTTCCCCATAATAGTAGATATGATAACAGAGGTATAGAAGAGTGAATTTCAGCAAGTGGAGCTTGACATACTCTGCCCTTTTTTGTGGCCTCCCTCCTTGCAGTCTTTTGTGGATACAAAAGCACATTCAAACCCATGAACAACCACTTGGAATATAATGGAGTAAAGGTCAGAGAAGGTGTTTAGAATTAAGCATGCCCTAAGATGACAAAGACTGATGTTTTGTAAGATAAATCTACTTAGTGTGTTAGTTTTTCTAAATTTGTAATGTTTTAGTTTTACTATATTTGTAACGTAAATTTAGTAACTTACATTATTAAATTCCATTCTTAGAAATTCTGTTCTGTTAAATAGGCTATAGCACATACATAAATGTTACATTATTATGAAATGACTTAAATGTCAATTTCCATGGTGATACTGGCTCTTTAGCAATGCTATGTTTATATTGTGCAAGATAAAAACAGCGTGGACAATAAAGATATATTCTAATCATGTGCAATTGCTGTTTATACCAAGGATTTGAGAAATCGAGTAGGCATATCATCCATTCAGTATAAAAAGATTCTGCTTCTGCTTCCCATATTCTAGACTGAATTATTTCTCTATTCGCATGTTAATATAGCTTAATTTTTCTTTTTGCAAAATTACTTTTAACCTCTGTTACTAAATTGTAGTAGATGCAAAAGAATTTTACTTTAACATAAATTATATCAAAGGTTTTCCGTTTTTTAAAAAAATCCTTAAGGGTCTTTTAATGTAGGACTATTCACTCTATGTCTTACAGTTTCATGACTGAACATATTGATAGGTGGCTGTACTAATTTCAGTGTATTTGCTGTAAAAAAAACACTTCTAAGGTATATTTACATTTTTGTAGTAGACAGCTAAGTTCGTTTGTAACATTGCTTACATTTGTTCATTTGGATTTGTTTGGGGCTTGCATTGGCCATATCTGTGACTGGATCCAGAAATCTCTTGCATGGGTAGAAAAGCATTTCAACTAGAGTAAGAAGTACAGTGGTGCCTCGCATTGCAACGTTAATTAATTTCACAAAAATCACTGTTGAACCAAAACATTGCTATGCGATATTAAAAAGCCCATAGAAATGCATTGAAACCTGATTAATGTGTTTCTAGGGGCTTAAAACTCACTGTTCAGCAAAGATCCTCCATAGCACAACCATTTTCGGTGCCTTTTAAGCGAGGAATCCGTCCCAGAAAACAGCGGGTGGCCATTTTGTTTAACCGGCGGCCATTTTGAACCCACCAATCAGCTGTGCGAAAATGGTTGCTTTGCGATGATCGGTTCCCAAAGCAGGGAACCAATCATCGCAAAGCGAAATTCCCCCATAGGGAACATCACAAAGCAATTGCTTTTGCGATCGCAAAAAGTTCGTCGCAAAGCGATTTCGTCGCTAAACGGAATGCTCGCTAAGCGAGGCACCACTGTAATTGTAAAATGTGATCTATTAGTAGACTTAACTAGCTTATAATGTCTACTCTAACAGAGTCCTCAACTTAGCGTGGAACTAGAACTTTACTGACCATAGGTTTGGATCTATCCTGCATTTTTTATTATTTTAAAAATGTGATCAAATATTAGCTGAATTCTACTGATAGAGCACACTTACTTAATAGAGGCACCACTATAATTGTAAAATGTGATCTATTAGTAGACTTAACTAGCTTATAATGTCTACTCTAACAGAGTCCTCAACTTAGCGTGGAACTAGAACTTTACTGACCATAGGTTTGGATCTATCCTGCATTTTTTATTATTTTAAAAATGTGATCAAATATTAGCTGAATTCTACTGATAGAGCACACTTACTTAATATGCTGCAGAAGAGAACTTGTTAAGAATTATAATGATCTCATTTGGTATTATATCCTTTTTTCTCCAGTGAATAAATGCTGCATTAAAAACTGTTGCAACTTCAGTATGATTCACCACTAATGCTGTCTGAATCTGAACTGATTTAAAGGGTTTCCTTTAAGTGTGAATATAAATAAATTTTTAGCCATTGCTTTTGAAGAAATACTTTGACTTGTTGTAGAGTATCTGGTGCTACTGATATGCTAACTGAATTTATTTCCTGAAGACACAGTACTCTCTCTTCTTCTCTTTCATGTATCCTCTTGCACGGTGAACAACTATGATTTCTCATAAAAGTACGGTAAGGCACTGTTTCTATTTACTTAAAAAGTCATGAGTAATTATAACATTCTTGCACTAAAAGAAGTTGGTCTTCAGACCTACTGAATTTGCCATCGTTCTTCTTTTCAAGAATGCTAAGCTGTACAATATCATGTTTTTCTGCTCCAATTCTATCACACTCACAACTTTTCTATTTGTTGAACAATTCTTCCCTGGAAGATGTGCACAGATTATTATCTGAGAAGTATATTCGGATAGATTTCCTTCTCAGACATTCTCTTTTAAAGGAAGAAAATTCTACATGTTTGGCACTTGCACTTGTCTCTGGAAGTTAGTATCCTTACAGCATACTGTTAATAAAATTGAGGGAAAGGTATTTCATCATTTAAAAGAAACAGTAGTTTCCTGAATCGTTTCGTCTAATTCATATAAAAACAATTTGCCTTATTGTGGAATTAGGGATCCATGGGAATTTAAAATTAGTTCTGCTGAAATTTAGTAAAATTCAACTATTTGAAAATTAAGATAACCAATATATTTGCCTATCTCTGTGTTGATTGAACATAATTGTATTGGAGGCTAAGGCACAGGAACCAACCACATTATAATTGGAACAAAATGGGAAACAGCTTTATTGATTACAACTGCTAATGGCCATGGAGGATGGATCTTACAGTGATAGCATCCAGAGTTAACCACAAGGGCTTATGTGTGCTTACTTCTTCTGCCTAGGCATATAAAATGTGCAACATCCCTCAAGTTAGGTGTGCAAATGACCTTTGTACCTGTGCCCACATAAAGGGATTGCTAAGAGAAGGACAGGCAGAGTGGCTGCCTAGGACTCAGCACAGCTCCATAAATACATTTATATTCCACTTAGTGCTCAAGATACATTATGTTCCAAGAAAATGGAGCACTGGTTGTTGTGGGTTTTTCGGGCTTCTTGGCCGTGTTCTGAAAGTGGTTCTTCCTAACGTTTCACCAGTCTCTGTGGCCGGCATCTTCAGAGGACAGCAAATTGTGCTCTGGAGCACTGTCCAAATCAGCATTAAATGGGGCAGTTTAATGTTATACCTTATTGGATAAGACATTCTCCCTATGCTGGTCGTGCAATGCCAAGATTATTAAACCAAGAACATATAATTAATTTTAAAATAAAAACTCTCATATACAGTATGCCATCAATACAAACAAGGAATAAAGCAATCATATCTCATCTCTACCATGAAATGTATAGATGACTTTAGGCAAGCTACTGTTTTATCTTCAGAATTTCCCACTTCCACATATGCAGTGTGGACACAATACTACTCAGCTGCCATACATTCAGAGCTGGAGGTAGTCCATTTCAGAGAACTTTTGAGTGTTCTGCTTTTTCTCTCTGCCTAGCTGATGTCTAGTACAGATATGTATTATGAAGCATCACCAAATGCCCGTCCAAATGTGTACTATAATAGACTAGTGCTGTATGGGGCAGCGTTATGTGGGTTATTACTGTACTTCCCAGATGAACTGGTATGAAAACTTCTCTCCTTTGATCCACCCGGAAAACTGTTCTCACACCTTGGCCAACCTGATTGGCCACCAGCCAAAACATTGTGAAAAGGCCTGCATCATACTGCAGGGGCCTATAAGAAGGTGAAGCTCTGGCCCAAAATGGTGGCTGCCATGCCACCATCTTTCCACCACTACCAGCAAAATAAATCCTAGCAGGTAAGTCTGAGACTGGTGTATATAAAAGTGCAGAGATAAAAGATGCTTAACACAGTTTTTGCCATCATGTTCTTCTCTTATTGGTGCTTGTTAGAAAGGTGTATTTATCAGGGTGTAGGATGTCAATGATAAAAGCACCACTCTTAGAAATTGTAGTTAAAAATAAGAATCAGCAAAGAAACAAACTTCATTTCTTGCATAATATCTTTATTGCAGCATTTCTGGGGGCCTGTAGCCAACTGGGGACTGCCTATTGCTGCTATGAATGACATGAAGAAATCACCAGAAATCATCAGTGGCCGAATGACATTTGGTAAGTAGTAATGTGACCTAGGGAAGCACTGAGTGGTGACCACAAACCAAGCTGGTTAGATGTGTGTGCCACATTTAATAATATCTAACCTCTGCTGCATTGGAATAGATATATTACGGTGGGGTCTTGATTTAAGAACGGCTTGAGTTAAGAACATTTTGACTTAAGAACCACTCTCATAGGAAAATATTGACTTGACTTACATAGATTTGAGTTAAGAACTGAAAAAAACCATGTGGGAGGCAGGGGAAGTGCAAAATTTGAACTTTCGGTTAACTGTTGGCCAGTGAAAAGGGTGCCTGTCTGCTTCCTCCCTCCTCCCAGCATTTAGAGAGTGGATTGGGAGACAGTCTTCAGACTGCCTGCTACTGTACTGCCTCGACTGTCCTTTCCCTGCCTTCCCTGAACCTTTCTTGACCTAAGAAAAAAAGAAACAAAATATCCCCCTCTAGTGGCCGAAGGCAGAATAGCAGGTTCCCATTAGTTTCTATGGACGGAAAAGAGCAGATACGGATCAAATGGTTTTCAATGCATTCCTATGGGAAATGCAGATTTGACCTGAGAACTTTTTGACTTGAGAACCGCCTTCCAATATGGATTAAGTTCTCAAGTCAAGACCCCACTGTATACAACAGGATGGACAGCATTTTGCACCCAAGCTCCAAATAGCTGATTGGCTGTTTATATGAGGAATGCGTGGAGGTTGCTCTTGCCACATGTTGCCATTCCCATTGTTATATTTGGGTGAGGCAACAAAGTTTAGTAGTACAGTGGTGCCTCGCTTAGCGATCGCTCCGTTGAGCAATGAAATCGCTTAGCGATGGGGTTTTGGCCATCGCCAGAGCGATCGCTTAGCGATGGCCCCTATGGGGAAAAATCGCTTTGCGATGATTGCGGGGAAGCGATCATGGCAAAGCGACCCTTTTTGCACAGATGATTGGAGGTTCCAAAATGGCCGCACGCTGTTTTGCCTCGCTTTAGAGGCACCGAAAATGGCCGCCCCTATGGAGGATCTTCGTATAAGGTCAGTTTTTAAGCCCATAGGAACGCATTAAACATGTTTTAATGTGTTTCTATGGGCTTTTTTAAATCGCTTAGCGATTAAATCGCTTAGCAATGTTTTTCCTGGAACGGATTAACGTCTCTAAGCGAGGCACCACTGTAAAAGGATAGCTTTGGCACCCTTGAGAGCTGCACTAAAGCCTTACAAGCTGCCCATGTACACCTTTGATAAGAAGTGTCAGGCCTTGTTGGCATAGGTAAGGATTTAGGTCATATGCAGTGTTCCTTACCACATAGAAACAACGAGATTCCTAATTCTGTGTGCCCAAGTAGGTGGGGAGATATGTATTTCTTGTACAACTTGTTCTTACCAACATGTTACAACCTTTTTTAAAATAGAGCTGCAGAATATTGTGGTACAAGTATGTTTGCTATTCAAAGAGAAAAATCTCACAGAATAGAGTAGTACAGGTTTAAAGTGTCTATATGATTTTTAGTTTGTCTTACCAACTCTGCTTTGTCACATACTGTAAGAGTGTAGTATCTGTATCTGTTGAAAGAAATTGAGGGACTGTTAAATGATCATGTAACATGGATATATTGATAAAAGATAGACACATGAGAAAATGGCCATGTATTGGCTCCTGACTGGATGTTGAAGGTACCATCTGAAGTACGGGCATTGGACACACCCATATTTTCTTGTTCCTCGAAATGACTGTATTAGAAAACTATATTTGTGTTTTAAAGCCTTTGTTTCTTCGGAGAAGCTGCTTTAAGACTTTATCATAATGTGAATGGTCCCTAAAATGATAAGAAGTCCTTCTTTCACATAACTAAATGACTCTGATGAATAAATGCAATAGACCAGAAATATAGCTGAAAAGTATGTTGACAGTGTGAATGGGCTGGTTTTCCAAATATCAAACCTGCATCCCAATAATTTGCTGATGTTTTTATAGTCTATAGCTTTGATGACACTGTCTAACCATCTCGTCCTCTGTTGTCCCCTTCTCCTCTTGCCTTCATATTTTCCCAACATCAGGGTCTTTTCCAGTGAGTCTTCTCTTCTCATGAGATGGCCAAAGTATTGGAGCCTCAGCTTCAGGATCTGTCCTTCCAGTGAGCACTCGGGGTTTATTTCCTTCAACATGGATAAGTTTGTTCTCCCTGCAGTCCAGAGGACTCTCAAGAGTCTCCTCCAGCACCACAATTCAAAAGCATCAATTCTTTGGCGGTCAGCCTTATTTATGGTTCAGCTCTCACTTCCATACATCACTACTGGAAAAACCATTACTTGGACTATGCGGACCTTTGTCGGCAAGTCTCTGCTTTTTAAGATGCTGTCTAGGTTTGCCATCGCTTTCCTCCCAAGAAGCAAGCGTCTTTTAATTTCGTGGTTGCTGTCACCATCTGCAGTGATCATGGAACCCACGAAAGTAAAATCTGTCACTGCCTCCATATCTTCCCCTTCTGTTTGCCAGGAGGCGATGGGACCACTGGCCATGATCTTAGTTTGTTGTTGAGCTTCAGACCATTCTTGGTGCTCTCCTCTTTCATCCTCATTAAGAGGTTCTTTAATTCCTCCTCACTTTCTGCCATCAGAGTGGTATCATCTGCATTTCTCACGGTGTTGATATTTCTACTATCAATCTTAATTCTGGCTTGGGATTCAGTCCAGCCTTTCACATGATTCTGCATATAAGTTAAAGAAGCAGGGAGACAATATACAGTTGTGCCTCGACTTGCAAAACTAATCCATATTGCAACGCCAAAATTTTGTAAGTCAAAGCACCGTTTCCCATAGGAATGCATTGCAAACCATTTAATCCGTTCCCGGCCAAGGGGAAAAATCACCAAAAAAATAAAAGCTGCCCCCACTGCCCTTTGCCTTCCAAAGCCGCCCCCACAGGAGGCAAAGGACAGTGGGGATGGGAGGCAGCAGTGGGGGTAGCTTTGGAAGCCCGGGAAAGCCCAGGAAGCTGGAAGCCACCTGACCTCTGTGCCGGGTGCTGGCTTCCCAGGCTTCCAAAGCACCAGCACCTGGTGCGGCAGTCAGGGCGGTGTTGGAAGCCCGGGAGCCTGAGCCTCCCTTTTCTTAACTGTTGGGGCGAAGCAGCCGCCTCTTCACCACCAACAGTTATTAAATTTAAATTTCCCGCCTTTTTCCCCAGCCTTTTTTCTTTTGTAAGTGGAAGCTTCGGCCGCACTCCTTTCTCAATTTTGAACCAATCAGTTGTTCCATATCCAGTTCTAACTGTTGCTTCCTGTCCCACATATAGATTTCTCAGGAGACAGATAAGATGGTCAGGCACTCCCATTTCTTTGAGAACTTGCCATAGTTTGCTGTGGTTCACACAATCAAAGGCTTTTGCATAGTCAATGAAGCAGAAATAGATGTTCGCAGCCAAGAGTCCTTCGGCTTTGGCCCAACCACTTCATTAGTTCTGGAGCTACTTGTACTTCTTCAGTAGCATCTTGGACACCTCTGAGGAGCTCACCTTCCAGTGTCATATCTTTTAGCATTTTGTTTCTGTTCATGGAGTTTTCTTGGCAAAGATACTGGAGTGGCTTGCCAGTTCCTGCTCCAGGTGGATCGCGTTTAGTCAGAACTCTCCACCATGACCTGTCCGTCTTGGGTGTCCTTGCATGGCATAGCCCACAGCTTCTCTGAATTACTCAAGCCCCTTCGCCACAACAAGGCAGCAATCTGTGAAGGTGTGTGTAATACTACTAGTAGTAATTCCACATTGGTGAAACTGGTACGGTTATTTTCCAGTATGAACTGAAGTTGCTTTAGAATGTAATAAAGTCATAATCACAGGTCAGGATTTTTGAATCCACTAAATTCTTATTAAATTTGCTTTATAGCACTTTGCTGTTATTCGTTGACCTTCATGAGATTTGCATACAAGGTCCAGCCCAGGAACTGGTTACTGTTTGCTTGTCACTTTACTAATGAGATAGCACAACTTATTCAAGGAGGAAGACTGATCAAATACAAGTAAGTTAGTTTTAAAATCTGACATCATAAGTAAGAAGACAAATTAAATCATGTTTCTGTTTGTATTTATAATTCTTGAATGCATACTCTTGATTAATCAGAGACTTTCAATGAATCAACTTCCGTTTTTCCTTTTTTTTCTTATTTTTGACAGGATGGAAAAAAAGAACTGATTGTTTATAAAGGGAAAATGAAAAAGGTGCTTCTCTTCAAAGTACAACAAAGGAAGGTCTTTGCCATCCACAGTTGCTCTGACTTGATAGTTTTGCATCAACACCATCTTCATGATCATTGCTAAAATACTCTGTCCAGCAATCATCATCCATCCATCCATTAATTTTTTAGTCTCTCTTCTACAAAGAATTACATAACAGTTTGAAACTGCATCACATATTTTTCTGCCTTATGTGTACTACAACTTTATACTTATGAAATTGTTTATCTTATATATAAATAACTTCTCTGAAAGATATGTTCTCTTAAACGTGCAACAAAGAAGCATTGAATAAATCTGTACAATTTGATACTGGAAATTTAGGGTAACATGGTTACTTGGCTATTAGGTATGTAAATGTACTTGGAAACTGATGTTCTGTCCGAAGTGCATTGGAGTTACTGTGGAATAGTACTTGCATACAAGATATAAATTCCTGACTGTTTTTATACTTAAAGAGTACAGTGGGCCTCCGTATCAGTAATATAGTGCTGACTAAAAGCAGGTGCTTATTAACTGTTCTCAGGTTTAAACATTTTTGTCTGCTTGCCTTCACATTTAAGCAATTAACCTGAATATTTTTATCATTAAAAGTTGCCCCCACTTGAGAAGCAAGCAAAGGAAGTTCCTAACAATTTACATACTAGTTCAAATAAATAACTTATTCTTTCACAGTTCCATCAAGCATCTAGAGATGGGTCATCCTGTTTGTGCAGATCACCATCTTGGTCTGAAAGATGGAGTGACTTCGTGTGTATTAACAGCCACACCATTTGGAACCATTTTTGCCTGTGGGTACTCTGGAAATGTTACACTTGTAGGTTGGATGCTCTGTAGCAAAACCACTTTAGTCCTGCATCCGACAATGTGTAGACTATGCTATTTCTGAGAATTGATTTGAATTGATTGATTTGTTGCAACCACTCTAAACGTCGTGGAAATTCACACCAGTGTCATAATTCCACATCAGTTGCCTCTTGGAGATACTGCATAACTTTAAAAGTCAAAAATCACCACCAGATTGGGCAGCAACAATCCCAATTGTGGCAGCCCCAATCTAGCGGGGATTTTGGATTTTTGAAGCTCCCCATCCCATGGCTCTGAAAGGCTTCCCCAGGGCAAAAAGGAGCCTGAGCCTCAGACCTAAAAGGTGGTAGTTAGGAAGCTTTTAATTAGTGTAAATTTAAACTTTCTAGCACCAGATCCAAATTATGCCAGGTGCAAAGTTATGCAACAGGATGTTGCACACTGAAGGGTTTCTTATAAAACTTAATTTAACACTAGAAGTCCCCAGAATAATAAATTAAAACTTCTGATCAGAAAGGTCAGAAAGATATTTTTGGTTTAACTTGACAATTCACTTCATTCTTATTACAGCTTCTATGAGTTGTGAAGAACAACGAACAGACTGTATTTAAGAATTTATTTCCATTGGAACAACTTTGGGAAATTAAACTTCCCAGTGGGAAGAAGTTTTAAGGACATTTTAATCAAAAATAAAGGCAATAAAACTATTTGGAGGGAATTTTGTAATGGCAATTGTCTGTAATATGAATAAAAATGCTATCTTGCATGCATAACTGGATTATTTGAAAGTCTAGGAAAGATGGAGATTCCCATATATGAGGTCCATTTCAATTGTAATGATCTTCAGGTTAATATTAATATATTAGTAAAAAGACACTGGAGTTCACTATTTCTACTTATTTTACTAACCTAGACATGGGTTTCATGAAGTTGCTGTAATGATAAGAGTAAACTATGTGTATTTTTAAATGCTGTAATTATGGGCAGTGCTAAAGTGTCATAGAATTGTCGTGGGGTTGGAAGGTACCTTGGAGGTCTTCTAGTCCAACCCCCTGCCCAAGGCAGGAGACCTCATACCATCCTGGACCTCATATGTGATATTTCACTTTTTCTTCAGCAGCCATGAAAGGGAGAAAAATATGTCCCTGATTATAATTGAAAGGCATATTATTATAATTTGTACGCAGTCAGAATTTCATATTCATACAGTGACAGCAACTGATTACTTGACATACCTAACTTAAATACAGATATCAAAATACAAAATAAAACATGTATTAAACCATTTCACAGAGATACTGTACACTTTGAATACTATTCTGTACAGACATCTTTCTAAAGTAAGGTGGATATGTATATCTGTGCATAAAATGTTGATTTCAAGGCATAAACTATTTTATGTGGTTTTTAATTATTGTTACAGAACTCTTTTTTTGGATGAGCACAAGGTACACATATATGAATGAAAACTACAAACTAGATAGCTTATGAAGTTAATAGCAAGTCAGTGGAGGACTCTTAAGCCTTGAAAGACCAGCACTCTTTTAAATACCTGAGATTATTTTGTAAGAAAAAGAAAAGTATACCTCAACAGACTGCCAAGTCCACATTAAAAAATTAAATTACAAATAGAACAAAAATATTATAACCGTATTATACCAGAGCACTATATGTCAGTAAATTTTAAACCAGAAACAGGCAACATATATGTAACATCCAGACAAAATGCCAGAGTGTTATAATAAAGATAACTTGCCATTGAAAAATGACACCAACTATTCACCATTCATGATATAATGCAGTTGTAAACTAAGGCTAGTATCCTGTTGGAAATACAGAGCATGAGAGCTCCATTATTCCCCAAGTTATGTCCAGCTAGCAGTTACAGAAACCAGCGATTGGTCCACTGGCAACAGCCTTTTCTACTTACACAAGAGATCACTGGATTCTCTCTTCGGTGAGCAGTGGGGAATCATAGAATCAAAGGAAGAACTATTCGCAGAACAGACTTGTGCAGTATTTTGTCTCCAGCTGAAACCTTACAGTTCCCAACTGATTTACTTTGAATAGCCTGAGAAATTATTGTTCATACCGAGGCTGAGACATCCCTGGGTTGTCAGGCTCAGTTGGGCAATGAGGCCATTCAAGTAGCATGGAAAAGCTAACAAGTTATCCTGGGAAAGAGACCATACACACCAAATTGCTGCAATTCTCACTATCATACGTACTGTTCTCCACTCCACTCATCCTAAAAACATTTTAAAGGGACACAGTTTGCGAACAATGCAAGAGACATCCACAAACCAAATCTTCTTCCTTCACACATGCCCTCACTGCTACTCCTGCCATATCCTCATCATGGCTTTTTCTTTCTTTTTGTTTCTCCCTTTCACACCTGTCCCCACTTCCATGCAGCCCAGGCAACCCTTCTCCTGCCAGCCTGCTCCTTGCTCTTCTGCAGATGAAGCAGGCAGGCCACAAGAGAAAGGGCTGAGGCAGAAAGGCCTTTGGGGAAAAGGGAAAGATGTGCCCTACAATTTTGCAAAGACAACATCAGGAAGCTTCAGTGCCTGTAATTTGTAGTCATGTAATCTTGCTTTTCTAAAATTTATTTCAACAATATTAATTAGAAAGAGAGAGAGAGGAGGTCAGCCTGAGTTTTGAGCTGTTTCCTTGCAAATGACAGACTATTGTATTCCTTTAATATTTTCTAACACTACCTACCTGGCAGAGTGCTTACCTAATACAATGCTGCATCTGATAAAAGTACTTAAAATGTTTGACACACAGGAGGAGATAGTCCCACTGTATAGTGCCATAGAAGGGTATGTAACATGCCAAACACCACTGAGTACTTCACCATTAATGTCACCCTAAAACACCCATCACTCCTGGTTTAGAACAAGATAAACAATCGCACATGCCAGAACCCAGAATTACCCCAGTTGCTCCAAAACACAGTAACTTCTGCCATTGAGCCAAAAAATGTTGGAATGACCATGACTGGGCTGGATTGCAATCAGCTGTACATCATACAGTCACCAGAAAATACATCGGACTTCACTGTGTTAACAGGGGTCTAAAATGGAGAGTAAATTGCAATGTAGCCACACCCTGATCATTGATACTGACCTTAATCAATTGACTTCTCATGCTATGAAAGGGCAATAAGTGTGATATTTGTCTTCTTAAGGACCAAGGTCACATAGTCATTTTGTTTTTTGAACATTATATACCATATTTTAATAGTCATAAACAACAGATAACATTGGCATAAATTCTTTAAGGGCACAAAAATAATCAGCAGTCTGACAGGCAAAATGCCTGTTAAAATAAAAAGGGAATTTATGAGGCAGAACAAGACCACTGAGGTACCACCTCGAATGTATAGAGCCTTTCTAGAAGGCCTTGAGGAGTGCCACCTCCGTATTAGAAGGAGCAAACTTAGTTTTAGGAGTCTTATGCTTTTTTCCATTTTTTTTTTCTTGGACCATCAACGTCTGAGGAAACTAAAGAAGACACCACTTTTGCAAAGAATATTTAAAGAAAAAAACCAAGCTTGGAGGATGTTGCAGTAAACCTGTATGAGGCATTCTGAACACTTGGAATCTATATTTTGCAGGGGAACTAGATAATGTACAATTAGCCCTGACAAAGACCAATACTAATATATCATTAGCTTAACATCAAGACAAAAGCTCCACTTGTTGTCCTGTAGCAGCACCTTTAAAGTCTATAAAAAGAAGAATGATTTGCCTATATTGCCATCTATCACTTCCTGTGAAAAGCTAGAATAGTGTTATCCCTGAAGAGGAGAGTCCAGAGTTCTATAAAGAATGAATGTGGCTTTTCAGTGTTCCACATTAATAAGATGTAGCTCATGGATCACAGAATTTCTTCCAGTTGATTCTAAATGAGGGGATAAAACCTGTGCTGAAGAGTGCCTTGGCAATAGTCCTGGGTCCAGTGGCCACAGGAAAAATTGACACTGAAAGATATTGGTGGTGGAATATTTGCAGTATTCAATATGTCCCCATCTTCTTTAGTTTAAAATGGGTTGATGACGCAAAAAATTGAGCCAATATTAGAGGAATATTTTCCCAGCTGTTGTCATTTTATTTTTTATATTAAACATAACTATTTTGTTTTGCTTTATACCAATTTAATACCTGGCTCTATTACTAATTTTGTCCCTTTGGAAACCATGAGCAAGGAAGCTAATGGAAAGGAGATACTATGAGATGATGAAATAGTGCAAACGAAAATAAGTTGCCACTATTCAGAAAATCTTGTTGTAGGTCAAGTGGTATCAATTTGGTTACATGTGCTCCATATGTATCTAATTACTTGTCTCCAAGCACCAACATCTCTCCTTTATTCTTTCTCTTCACTGTTTTTCACACTGCCTGCCAACGTCCAGTTGGGCAGGCACTGCTTGCTGGTAGGCATTGGATTTGACAGATGAGCTACTGAACTCTTGGGAAGTGACCCAAATTCATTGATTTGGACATTGTTACTGTTCTTCACCAATGCTGAATTTTTTTAAAAAAACATTTTATTAGTTTTTCAATCTATCTACATTGGTTTGTGCTTGTCAAACATCGTGTTACATGCTTTGCTTACAATTATTTGTTTTTTACATCTCAGTGTCTTCCTGGTTGTCCCCCCAAATTCCAAACATCTTTCAAACATTCAAACCATTCATGTACATATTTTAGTATATAATATGACTACTATCATAATATTACTCTGATATTGTACAATATTTTCAAAGTCTTCTAATAACATTCTTATTGAAAGTGGTTCCAGAGCCATGACCTAGCTGTATATCTAGTTTAGTTTACCTAAAATGAAAAACCACCATATTACATCTTTACCCTGTTTGGGGCTCCCTTATTTCAATTTAATTCTCCTTTTCAATATAAAGGATATACCCTTTTACAATTCCCGATGTTAAATATATACATATTTTTCAATATTAAGGGCCCCCTTCTTGTTTTCCCCTTTTTCATCTTTCTAAGTAATTCCCTCTCTGATTTCTCTTTTTTCACTTTGTATTTCTGTGTCTCTAAGCATTCTGCCATCTTTCATGTCCTCTGAAACCGTTTTGTACATCTGTTTTATGTCCACTAACTCTTTATGTACTTGGTCTATCTTCAATGGATCTTCCAGTTTTGTTAATTTTGCTGATTTTGTCCCTTTGTCTTCCCTTAGTACTCTCCTCGGATCCAAGACTGATGTTTCTCTTAGGTTAATTTCCTCCAGCTCCTGTTTTGATTGGCATACATCATCTGGAACACTCTCATTTCCGTCTTCGTTGTTCCCTGTTGCTTGCTGACTATAATTTTTCAGATGTTGATTGAATGATTTTGCCTCTTGATAATGGGATCTCACTATTTCTAGTATTGTTTGAAGGGTAGATTTTGTTTCATCCCAAAATTGTCCTTGTTGTGCCATTCTGTTCCAGCTGCCCAAGTGCTTAAGCCAAGATTCGAAGTCCCCAGGTCTCACAGTCCAGATCGATGATTGTATCTGTATCATAATTGATCCCTGGCAAATTGATGCCGGCTAAACAGATATTCCAAGGTTCCAAAGTCATTTCAAAAAGTCCGCTTTGGCTAAATAGGCCTGAACCAAATTTGAACCTCCAAAGTACCAGGGTAGAATGCAATGTTTGTATCCGTGGCCTGATGGCCTAATTCCACAGGTTTATGAATTCCCAAGGCACAGTTTTTTAAAGGTCCACTTTAGGGTTAATTTATCCAGCCAGGCATTTAAAAAAAGCAAAAAGAAATAAACAGATTTCCAAGCTTAAGCAACAGTAGAGTACTCAAGGTCACTTTTCCTGGCCTTTATGCCAAAAGACTTCAAGTAGCCAAACAAAGTCCAGATTTATCAAGTATAACTTACGAGAAAGGTTCTTAAGCTTTATAATGCCAAATTATAATATTCTTGTATATTTTAAATGTATTTGAATGCGTAGTTAATATCCCATTAATCTTTAAATTATTTCTTCACATCAACTATCCCTCTCTCCAGATTATCTGCTGCTAATGATTCATGAGAGTGATAGAAGGTTCTTTTTCCTGTATATAGGAAGTGTCTTCTCCAGGGGTAATCATAAGCAATTAGTTGCAAAAAAATCTCACCCGTAGTTGATGTTGCATAGCTTGATTGTTGCCTCTAATTAGTTGGCTGCCGACAAGTTTGCAAGCAAAAAATTGCTTGTTTCTGCCTGTTGGCTGATTAGGGAGTTTCCTGGATCGAACAGGGGTGACCGCCGTCCCTCCCCCGTGATCAACAGGCTTCCCCCCCAGTTCACCACCTCTCCGGGGTGGTTCCGACACCCTGGGATGTCCCAAACAGGTTAGAATTCAGCCCAGGGGACAGAGCTCTGTCCTCCTGTTGTCTCATTGTGACGTCAAGCCAATGCTGAATTTAAACTGCTTTGTTCTGGGGGGGAGGGGGAGCTATCCAGTGATTACATAGGAAAATGTGTAAAACAGAAAACAGAACACATGATGCTCTGCTACAGTTGAAATCCAATCTCTATCCTGACAAAAGAGCTTTCTGAACCCCCACCATGTGAAAATGTTATCACTGCTCTGCTAGTTTACAGGTAAGTTTACACTGCTGTTGGCTCGTGTTTCTAATTAACATTTATTCTGTAAGCTGCAGGTTCTGGTGTTAGCGTGCCTATTCCTTTTTGCAATGCCTAATCTAGCATTTGTACCATATGCATAGTAACAAGGTGAAAGGAAGCATGACCTTATCCTTATGCACTGCTGCTTAAGAACATATAAATATCTTGCTTTTCCAGAAGCACAATAAACCACAGTATAAACTATCAGCTGAACTATTTAAAATCTTAAAAGATGATGCAGTTAAGGTGCTACATTCAATATGCCAGCAAGATTGGAAAACTCAACAGTGGCCAGAGGACTGGAAAAGGTCAGTCTACATCCCAATACCAAAGAAGGGCAGTGCCAAAGAATGCTTGAACTACCATACAATTACACTCATTTTCAATGCGAGCAAGGTTATGCTCAAAATCCTACAAGGTAGGCCTCAGCAATATGTGGATTGAAAACGCCTAGAAGTACAAGCTGGATTTTGAAGGGGCAGAGGAACTCGAGACCAAATTGCTAACATGCGTTGAATTATGGAGAAAGCCAGAGAGTTCCAGAAAAACATCTACTTCTGCTTCATTGACTACGCAGAAGCCTTTGACTGTGTGAACCACAGCAAACTATGGCAAGTTCTTAAAGAAATGGGAGTGCCTGACCACCTTATCTGTCTTCTGAGAAATCTGTATGTGAGACAGGAAACAACAGTTAGAACTGGATATGGAACAACTGATTGGTTCAAAATTGGGAAAGGCTTCTTTAACTTATATACAGAATACATCATGTGAAAGGCTGGACTGGATGAATCCCAAACCGGAATTAAGATTTGATGGTAGAAAGATCAGCAACCTCAGATATGCAGATATCACTCTGATGGCAGAAAGTGAGGAGGAATTAAAGAACCCCTAATTGGGGTGAAAGAGGAGAGTGCAAAAAAAACAGTCTGAAACTCAACATCAAAAACTCTAAGATCATGGCCACTGGTCCCATCGCCTCCTGGCAAATAGAAGGGAAAGATATGGAGGCAGTGACAGATTTCACTTTCTTGGGCTCCATGATCACTGCACATGGTAACAGCAGCCACGAAATTAAAAGATGCATGCTTCTTGGGAGGAAAGTGATGAGAAACCTAGATAGCATCTTAAAAAGCAGAGACATCACCTTCTCGACAAAGGTCCACATAGTCAAAGCTATGGTTTTTTCAGTAGTGATGTATAGAAGTGAGAGCTGGACCATAAGGAAAGTTGACTGCCAAAGAATTGATGCTTTCGAATTGTGTTGCTGGAGGAGACTCTTGAGAGTCCCCTAGACTGCAACAAGAACAAACCTATCCATTTTGAAGGAAATCAACTCTGAGTGCTCAGTGGAAGGACAGATCCTGAAGCTGAGGCTCCAATACTTTGGCCATCTCATAAGAAGAGAAGACTCCCTGGAAAAGACCCTGATGATGGGAAAGAGCGAAGGCAAGAGGAGAAGCGAGATGTTTGTACAGTGTCATTGAAGCTACCAACATGAATTTGACCAAACTCTGGAAAGCACTGGAAGACAGGAGGGTCTGGCAAGCTCTGGTCCATGGGGTCACGAAGAGTCGGACGCGACTTAACGACTAATCAATAAAATAAACCACAGCCCATTGCAAATGATTCATTAGGTCGGATCACTTAAAAGAACCAGCAGCAAAAGACATCAAATAACATAAAGAAGCCTCAGCTGACGTTGGCTGTCATGCTAAGGAAGGCATATTTATATGCTCCGCTCCAGTTGCCCGGTTGTGCAGCTCCTCTGTAACGAAGCTGTTAACCGTGCAGAACAACGGAGTCATTCACAGGACGTCACATGTTCCTTTTTGCAAAAAGCGAATGAATATGTAGCGTAAAGAGCTGGTGTAGCCCTGGGGGTCGGAGCGCCCGGGCCAAGGACATAAAGTGGCTTTTTGGCTGAGACTGAGCGGAGACAGCGCAACTGCTTCTGGGTTCTACCAATACGTTACTTCAGGTTTCTTGTTACACGAAGGTTGACGAAAGGCAGCCGCACACTTCACTATTTAAAATATACAGCATAGCCCAGTTTCTGGACCTTTCATGCTTCTCCTTCCTTAGCTAGCTAGTCTGAGGGTGAGCTCTGGAGAACCTCAGCCCTTGCGCACGGTGGTGTAATAATAGCTCAAGGTATTGCCCACTTGCAACTTCTAGAGTTCGGTTTCCTCTTAAGAACAAACTGGGCGTTTTCCCGTTTGCTGTGGCGATGCAGCAGCAGTTCCTTCTTTTTAAGAGGTTGTCCACCCACGGCAGCAGCCGAACGGAAGCCGGAAATGTGTCCTGCCCTGCGATGGGGCTTTAGTCCCCTAGAGAGGATGGGGCAACTCTGAAACCCTGGCGATTGGCTGAAGCCCCAGTTGTCGAAAGTATTTCCGGGTTAGATGGGAATCCAGCTTCCGGCTTGGTTTTGCCTAAGAGGCGGCTGAAGAGGTTCCGCCAAGGAAAGGAGAGCGGTTGGGGGAGGGGAAAAAAAAGAGAGGCGTGTTCCGGGCAGAGTTTCTCCTCGGGCGCGCTGAGGGGCGTCTCGTCGTGACCATGGAGAAACTTCGGCGGGTGCTGAGCGGGCAGGACGACGAGGAGCAGGGGCTGACGGCTCAGGTGCGGCTCTCTCTTTCTCTCTCTCGGGGAAGGGGCGGCGTCGCCTGCCTGCCTGCCTGCCTGCCTGCCTCCCTTTCCCTTCGGGGTTTTTAAAAAGGATCCTTCGAGGGCCCCAAAGAACCGCCCCGTCCTCTCTCTCGGGGGCCACGGAATAGCGTCCCTTTTTGGCTGCACACAAGCGCCGAGTTACTCGAGCTTGACCTGAATCATAGAAGTTGGGAGGGCCATTGAGCAGGTTTGAGGAGCTGGAAGGGGAGGATAAACTCTTCTCATATGTTGAATGTAGTGCCAAATAAAAAAGGTTCAGCAGATTACCGTTTTCTTCATGCTACTTTGACACCTCTGAAAAACGCTTACTTATCGTATTCAGTTACTTAAAATGTTTTTACTCCACCTTTCTCCTTAAAAAGGATCCAAGGAAGCCTGTGTCATTAAGAGACAATATTTAAACCTAAAAAAGCAGTTATACAAAAGGACCAAACAAATACCACTCTGAGAAATGGTAAACAGGCAGCCAATGCAGGGCAGCCAGAGTGGGGGAGATATGTTGACCTTTTCTCACCCCAGTGAGAAGTGTGTTTCTGCATTGATTTCAAAGTCTTAATGATGACATATAAAGCCCTAAATGGTTTAGTAAAGGTAAAGGTTCCCCTTGACAATTTTTGTCCAGTCGTGTTCGACTCTAGGGGGCGCTGCTCATCCCCGTTTCCAAGCCATAGAGCCAGCGTTTTGTCCGAAGACAATCTTCCGTGGTTACATGGCCAGTACAACTTAGACACGGAACGCTGTTACCTTCCCACCGATGTGGTCCCTATTGATCTACTTGCATTTGCATGCTTTTGAACCGCTAGGTTGGCGGAGCTGGGACAAGCGATGGGTGCTCACTCCGTCGCATGGATTCGATCTTACGACTGCTTGGTCTTCTGACCCTGCAGCACAGGCTTCTGCGGTTTAGCCCACAGCGCCACCACGTCCCTTCCTAAATGGTTTAGGACCTCAATATCTAGTGGAATGCCTCCTCCCACTTAGATCTACCTGAATCACTCACTTTAGCCAGGATGGGTGGCTGAGGGGCCTAATGCTGAGGGAGGCCTGGAGAGAAAGAACAAGAAATCGGGCCTTCTCAGCAGTGGCCCCACACCTCTGGAACAGTCTACCCTCAGAAATTTGTCTGGTTCCCTCGCTGGGTGTTTTTAAGAGCAAACTCAAGACCTGGTTCTTTAGGCAGGCCTTCCCTCCTGTCATTACCTAATTTATTTCTTGCTGTCTTGAATTGCATTAATGCTGTTGTTTTATTTTATACTGTTATTATTTGGATTGCTGTTAGCTGCCCAGAGTATACTTCAGTTTAGATAGGCGGGGTATAAATGAATGAATGAATGAATGGTTAAATAATTAATTGGAGACATGGTCTTTGATAATTTAGACCCCAGCTGTTTAGGACTTTATAGTTTAGGACCAGCACTTTAAATGACTCCCAGAAATGGATCAGCTGCCAGTGGAACTGCTGTAGCAAGGGGGGTATGTGATCACTGTGTCAGCAATCTGGCTGCTGCATTTTGGCCAGCTAAAGTTTCCTGACACTTTTCATAGGCAGCCCCACGTAGAGCACATTAGAGTTCTCTAGCTGGGATATAACAAGGCATGTATTACCATGGCCAGATCAGATCTCTCTAGGAATGGGTGCACTTAGTACACTAGTTTTAATTGTGCAGACATACTCCTGGCTGCAGCTGGAACCTGGGCATCCAGGCTCAGAGACAAATCCAGGAGCATCCCAAAGCTGTGCACCTGTGTTTTCAGAGGGCATGTAACCCCGTCCAGCACAGGCTGCATCCCTATTCCTTGATCTGCCTTTTGACTGACCAGGAGCACCTCTGATTTGTCTGGATTAAGTTTCAGTTTATTCACTCTCATCCATTCCATTACTCATGCCAGATACTGATCTAGAGCCTAAACAGCTTTCTTGGGTTTGGATAGCAAGGAGAGAGAGAGAGAGTTGGGTGTCCTCTGCATACTGGTGATACCAAACCCCAAACCTTCAGACTACCTCCCCTAATGGTTTTGTGTATATGTTAAATAAGATGGGAAACAGAACAGAACCCCAAGGGACCCCACAGACCAGCAGCCAATGTGTCAAACAGGAATCCCCCATTACCACCCTCTGAGTTCTCTCTTCCAGGTGGAACCAAGTCCAACATAAAACAGTAAAGCACCATAAAACCACTGCTGCTGGTTTTAGTTTTAAATAGGAACATAATTTGCATTGCATGGTTGCTTTTTATTTGTTTGTTTTTGTGAAACCAGTATACCTAATTTAATGTCATAAGGTTTTTTCCCAAAATATGTGGACTGTATACTTAGAAGTATACATGCTTCTGCCTCATACGTTGTGATGTTTGAATTTTAAATGTTTTTCTTCCTTGCTGCCTATATAAGGATAAAGATTTGGATCAAAAAAGGTAAGTTAGATACTATTGCATTTTGAAAGAATTAGGTATTAATTGTTAAAATAGGAGGCTATCCCTGGCACCCTATCTTTAGTTGTAATGATACGTTTTCAAAGCAATATCTGGCATTTGAGAAAAACTGTCAGAATTGAGGGAAGAGACTAGTGAGAGAAGATAGCATTGTCTCCTTTTGTTATGTCTCTCTCCTATTGCAGTATGGCCACGAAAGAGGCACAACCATGGGAATCACTGTTGCAGCTAATTGATGAGGCGCCAAAGTATATCCCAGTCATGTGACTGGTGACTGCAACTGAAAGGGCACTTCATCAATTAGCTGCACAATAAGTTTCACAAATGTTATGGGAACGCCAATAAAATTCCACCAATTGCTTATTTTAACTAAATCCAGAGGTATGCATGTTGTCTGCATTCACAGTTTCTTAAAATGGATCAAAATTTAAAGCTTGCTCTTTGATTTAAATAAGTAATCATGAGAAGTTTTCATTCAAGGTCAAGCATAATAAATGTAGTATTTCTGTGTAGTTCTGATATAAAGAATTGGGTAAAGGCTGCAAGACCCTTTGGATCTAGTTCCTGGAAACAAGAAATGCCATTTTGTAGATGATATGGGAATCATGCCTTTCACCCACTTGACTGATCTTGTTCACTCCTGTTTTTATGATCTGTAACTGCTTGAGCTCAGCAACTCATTCAGCTATCAAAACAAACAAGAACATTTCCTCTTCACATGTAGATGAACTGGTGTGTCCAGTACTGTAAAATTTTGAGCCCTTAATTAGATTTGTTTGGACCTTTTTAAAGAGGGAAAGATGCATGGCGTTGAACAGGGTGCAGATCTCACAGCCCTTGGCTGCTCTGTTTGCAGCACCTGAAGCCAACTGGGTTATCTGAGTTATGGGAGAACAACACTGTTCCAGCTTCTCAGGTTGTTGCAAATAATTTGCTGTGTTGACTGGGGGTTGGAGATAATTCCTAGATGTTAGCAGCTAAGCGAGGGAATTAAATCTATCTGTATGCAGTGAGACAGGCGGGAGTGGGATTTGATGTACATATGCATGTATCTGCTTATGTATGGCCTTCACTGCTACTATGCACAAACACTAGATATAGTTTTGGGGATTAAAAGCTTGTGATCCCTGTTGAATGCACAAATATTTTTAGCATTCTTTTTTCCCCTTTGACATGATTTGGGGGGCAAGGATTGAGAGTTCTGCAATGCAAAGGAAGGAACCAATAGCCAGGGGAAGGGAAGCACCAGAAATAAGTATTTCCTTATTTTTATTGGGATGGATATATTCCTAAACATTATGTGTGGTCTTATTTAATTGTAAGCCATTTGAATTACCAGCTCATACAGACATGTATGTATTTTTTTGCACTGTATTTTGAATGTTATGATTCTTGCACTGATAAAGACTTAATGGTGAAGACTCTTGTTTCACAGCTAAAATCTAATTTCTGCTCTCTTTATTTAAAGGTACTTGATGCTTCATCCCTTAGTTTTAGTACCCGAGTGAAATGGTTTGCTATATGTTTCGCATGTGGCATTTTGTGTTCCATTCTAGTAAGTAAATATTTTCTGAAATATAATAAAAAGCAAGATAGCATTTGAATCTATACTTTGTATTTGATTTTTGTTTCTCTTCTGGAGCAAAAGTTCCACATCTGCATGGGGACTTCAAGTTAGCAATTGTCAATCTGCTTGTTCAGGAAAATTAAACAATACCTCCTTCATGGCAGTTTTCCATTTCTGAATGAAGAAGATGTGAATACATAACCGAATACTCTACACATCAGAATCTGTCTATCTCTTGAAAACTTATACCACTGTAAAGAATGTGAGACAGTCCTCTTGTGTATACATCACGCGCCTGGATAAAAGTCCTTTCCACTTGACAGAGATCCTGCAATTGCCTACTAGATTTCATAGTTATAATGTTAATCCCAAAACAATACAGTAATTTGTTTTATGTGATTTTGATTGCTCAAATAGTTCTATGTGAATGTAATATACTGAGACACATCACCCAAGGCACACTACTGCCATTATTCAGCACTCCCTTCTACATTTGTAATCTCAAAACATGCAAGAGTTCATATATGTGTCTGGAAAGCATGTTCTTTTAGCCCTTAGGAAACCTAGCTTACAAACCTTTATTTCCCCCCAAAATGATTTATTTTGATGCTTGGAATATGTGGTTTTCTGACATGGCTTAAGCCTGTTCCTTTAAATTCCATTTTGTTTAGAAAACACACATTTTAAATAAGCTTTGTGAACTTACACATAGGCTCTTACTAGTTTCAAATATTAAGCCTGCTACCAATAAGATTTTAGAAATTATTCATCAAAGGGCCATAGAGGGTAACAGCAGAGTGCTAGAAGTGTGTTGTTGTGCGGTTTTGGTGAAAAAATCTGTGTCTTCTGCTTTGCTTTTGTTACATAGGTTAAGGTTGCAACTTGTTTTCCTTTGTGTAGGGGACAACAATGCTCTGGCTCCCAGGAGGTGGCATGAAGCTCTTTGCAGTGTTCTATACCATAGGAAACATTGCTGCTTTAGCCAGGTATGAAAGGATTTTTCATTGTTATGGTTCTTAAATGAAGCTAATGCCCACATGCCATTTCATTTCAAGAGAAGGGCAAATAATATTCAAACTAAGAATAATATTGTGTGTGTTATTGTTAAAGCATGCATTTAATAAAAATATTGATTCTGTAAAATTGTTTTCTTTTGCCATCTGTCTGCAGGTGGCCTGTAGAACACTTTAAAAAGAGAAAGAATGAACTTCATTTTGTATTAATTATACAGCATTACAGTGTCTCAGGAGACAGTTACATGTCACATAAGGAAGCAAGAGAGGATTGGAAGCACACGCACGCCTCTCCCTCCCTCCCCACAGCTGTCTTCCTCGTCCACTTAGCAATCACATTAGGTTCTGGTTGCAATGGAACCCTGTGTGCCAGGGGGCAGTGTTGTGTGCTCTTACAGGAGCAAAGTTGTGCATGTGAGAGGCAGAGCTGCATCCAGTGCTGCTGAAAGTTAGAGGGTACGTTTGAAGGGGCTATCTATGGGGTACAGTACTTTGATAGACTATATTTAGATCTGTATGTGTAGCACAGTGTGGAGTCCTTCAGATGTATTGAGTACATTTCCCATCACTGACCATGCCTTTATGGGAAATAGTGGGATCTATGGTCACATCTGTTGAGGGTACCCTGTTTGGGAGAAGGTTGACATTCACTTGCTGAAGTTTCAGTAATCTACCACAACAGTACTATTAGCCAAGGACTTCAGTTCTGTAATATTTGTACTGCCACTGCATTTAGTAAACTATTGCTGTTTCCCTTTGTCCCAGTAAAACATGGATCCAAATATATAATTGGATATATATTTTTACTGGAAAGATGAATAAATACTAGCAGTAATTAAACAATTGGAATAATATTGGCAGTCTGAATAGGCTTTTTTATTATTTATCAAATCATTTTACTGTTCCAAAATCAAAGTTTTTCAGTTAACAGTAGTATGTTTTTAGCTTGTTAACATATTTTTCAGCCAAATTGGATTTTGGCAATTTTTTGACTGTCAGTACAATGCTAGCCTAGCAGTTTGAAAGCATGTAAAAATGCGAGTAGATAAATAGGTACCACCATGGTGGGAATGTAACGGTGTTCCGTATCTAGTCGCGCTGGCCACGTGACCATGGAAACGGTTTATGGACAAACGCTGGCTCTACAGCTTGGAAATGGAGATGAGCACCGCCCCCTAGAGTCAGACATGACTGGTCTAAATATCAAGAGGAACAGTTGTTCTGGGTTTTTCGGGCTCTTTGGCCATGTTCTGAAGGTTGTTCTTCCTGATGTTTCACCAGTCTCTGTGGCCGGCATCTTCAGAGGACAGCAACCTGTGCTCTGTTTTTTTCTTGTGTCCCAGTCAGAGGTCGTTTTTGCGTAAGACCATGACATCTAAGAATGAGAGCTGGCCCTCTATTTCTTTTTCCATGGTGAATTGTATATTTGGGTGGATGCTGTTGAGATGGTTGAGAAATTCTTCCAATTTT